GGCTTGGTGAGTTTAACAAGAGTGTGACTGCAATAGTTATAGTATGTATTCTCTTAGCACAATGATTCTAGTGGCAAGTTACTGAGGGCAAGGTTAATCGTTTTACCATTGAATTCAGAATCTAGTCTCTTACTTTGTGGCTTCTATGGAAACCTATAAATAAACGGACAATGAACTATTGGAGCTGAGAAAGGAGTGACAGTTACATTACGATAACTCCATAGTAATTACAGAAGTACCTTGCTATAAGTAAAACGCGCCTCGCTATAACGCGGGCCGAAAAAGGAAATACAGACACAGTGGCCAAAGTCCACTACCCAATTTTGGGGTTTGGTAAAAACAATCACAGAATCTTAACTATTACTCAAATATAATATACTTGTTTGTTGCAGATTCTCTGGCGAAGCAATGAAGAGAACAAGTTAGAATTTGACAAGATAAGCAAAGGTTGCTGGAAGAGCATTTTGATCGGTTTTGTGGCAATTGTGTTGTGTTTAAAGTGTTTTAATTTTATGTTTCATTGGGCTGTATGAGATGGATATTTTGTTGATGTGATTAAAACTTTCTTTTAAGGAATACTCCTAGCTAACTACCTTATCGGACCTTATTTGGACGGACATTAATTGAACGCTGGAGGCCCTAACGTTCATTTAATGTCCGTTCAAATAAAGTCCGTTCATTTAAGGTCCGTCCAAGTTAACAACGGAACGGTTCTCCTTGGTCTGCCGGAGGCACAGAAAACTTTACTGGTATATGATGTTTTCAAGGGTCACTTGGCGGAAAAAGTCAACGAAATTATGGTACTCAATGACATAGTTCATGAGCTAGTCCCCGCCAACATGACAAACTTGTTCCAGCCTCTAGATATTACGGTAAATCGTGTTGCCAAGGACATTGTCCGACGTTGTTATAGTTCATATCACTCAGGGGAGGTAATGAAACAGTGCTAGGAAAGCTCCACGTGATGTTAAGGTTAACCTAAAGCTGTCTAAGATAAAACCACTTCACGCCGAATGGCTTGTAAAAGTTAACACTGAAATGCAGGACCGGGGTTGTTTGATGAAAAAAGGTTTCCATAAAGCTAGAAATCACTGATGCTTTAAGCATGGACTATTTAGTATTTCATGCACGAAAACCCATTTGATGAAGATGATATGTGATATTAGACACTGATCATGTACACATATTTTAAAATTTTTACTGCTGAACGACTGCTTTTCTTACTTACTGTATAAAAAATGGATTTAAAAATCATTTGCTGAAATAAAAAAACGTCAAAAAAAGAAAAAGAATTCGGATTATTGATGGCTTTGAATGCCTTCTAGCGTTCATATTAATGTCCGTTCATAATTATGTCTGTTCATTTAATGTCCGTTCAAATAAGGTCCGATAAGGTATATAACTATTTATATCCTTTACTTCTAGTCACTCTCTATTAATAGCTTTAAAAACTTGCGTTTCGTTGACTTGGTTTAGTGCCCCTCTTTACAACTGGTTTACTCCCAGCATCATCGATAATCTAATGCAGTTGTTATTGCAAGTAGCGGGAAATACGTCCTCGAGCACTCAGCACACCGTCTCGAACTCCAGCCCTCCTTGTCCGCTGGGACTGACTCTGAGAGAAGAAAGTATAGTTAGATAGTTCATAGTTGGTTACCCCAAATCTTGTATCTGACTGTTAGGATTTCTGTCATAGTTAATTTATGTCAAATTCCAATATTTACGTTTTGAAGGAATGAAAGCGATTGTCTGGTTAAGTTTGGCAGCTCGTCAATCGCTGGGAAACGAAAAGAGCGGAAGATGTGAGAATTGGGAGACCCGATTTAAAATCCGGCAAACTAGCCTGGCTCAAGGAGTTACACTCGGATTATTCGGCAAACTAGCCTGGCAATAGTTATAGTATGTATTCTCTTAGCACAATGATCCTAGTGGCAAGTTAAGCTGAGGGCATGGTTAATCGTTTTACCATTGAATTCAGAATCTAGTCTCTTACTTTGTGGCTTCTATGGAAATCTATAAATAAACGGACAATGAACTATTGGAGCTGAGAAAGGAATGACAGTTACATTACGATAACTCCATAGTAATTACAGAAGTACCTTGCTATAATTAAAACGCGCCTCGCTATCTTACTATATATAAACATACATACATACATGCTACATGAAGAGGTCTCCTCCTAGTCGTTGGAGTGGCCTGCATCACACACATCTCTTCTACGGCGTAACATGTTCCTCCATTCCACTCGCTTTAGAGCCAACTGTTTTACTGCATCTCTGCTGATGTTATCGACACCTGTAAATTCAGCCGCATCCTCGAGTACACAAGCCATCCAGCCTTTGCGGGGTCGTCCTCTCAGTCTCTTTCCATAGTTTGGTTTCCAATCCAGTAAGAAATTGGGGAACCGCGTCTCTGGCATTCTGACAACATGTCCGTACCACCTTAGTCTAGCCGCACCGATGAAAGTTTCGATAGACTTAATTCCAGCACGCCTGAGAACTTCTTCATTGGAGACATGGAAGAACCACTTTATCTTCAAGATTCTTCTCAGGGAGGTCAGATGGAAGACCTCAAACCGTTTCATCTGCTTCTTTGTTGTGTTCCACAACAAAGAAGCAGATGCTATATATAAAGCGAGACGATATATATATATTTATTTATCCGCACCATTTTACTGACACCACGGCATCAACTTTAACACGGGTTTCCGCAAAAACCGTACAAGATATAAAACTGAAACTTTTTTAACTGATTCAAATGCTTTAATGGCCTTCAAATCAGCATGAAAAAATCGAAAATCGGCCAAGGAATAAGAATTTTAGTACCCAAAATTTGGACCCCCAGTGGTGTCAAAAACGCGAATTAAATAGGTAATAATTATTTTTACTGGGAGACTTTAGGGTAGGAAACTGATCCGGCCACCAAAGAGCCTTGACACCAGTCTTAAAGGTTTGACGGGTTCCTGCTAGTAAGTATAACGCGGGTCGAAAAAGGAAATACAGACACAGTGGCCACAGTCCACTCTACCCAATTTTGGGGTTTGGTAAAAACAATCACAGAATCTTAACTATTACTCAAATATAATATACTTGTTTGTTGCAGATTCTCTGGCGAAGCAATGAAGAGAACAAGTTAGAATTTGACAAGATAAGCAAAGGTTGCTGGAAGAGCATTTTGATCGGTTTTGTGGCAATTGTGTTGTGTTTAAAGTGTTTTAATTTTATGTTTCATTGGGCTGTATTGGATGGATATTTTGTTGATGTGATTAAAACTTTCTTTTAAGGAATACTCCTAGCTAACTACCTTATCGGACCTTATTTGGACGGACATTAATTGAACGCTGGAGGCCCTAACGTTCATTTAATGTCCGTTTAAATGAAGTCCGTTCATTTAAGGTCCGTCCAAGTTAAAGTCCGTTGAAATTTTTTCAAAAATTCTAACTTTTCGTCCAGAATATGACAACTATGAAAACTTTATTGTGCCGTAAGTTAACAACGGAACGGTTCTCCTAGGTCTGCCGGAGGCACAGAAAACTTTACTGGTATATGATGTTTTCAAGGGTCACTTGGCTGAAAAAGTCAACGAAATTATGGTACTCAATGACATAGTTCATGAGCTAGTCCCCGCCAACATGACAAACTTGTTCCAGCCTCTAGATATTACGGTAAATCGTGTTGCCAAGGACATTGTCCGACGTTGTTATAGTTCATATTACTCAGGGGAGGTAATGAAACAGTGCTAGGAAAGCTCCACGTGATGTTAAGGTTAACCTAAAGCTGTCTAAGATAAAACCACTTCACGCCGAATGGCTTGTAAAAGTTAACACTGAAATGCAGGACCGGGGTAGTTTGATGAAAAAAGGTTTCCATAAAGCTAGAAATCACTGATGCTTTAAGCATGGACTATTTAGTATTTCATGCACGAAAACCCATTTGATGAAGATGATATGTGATATTAGACACTGATCATGTACACATATTTTAAAATTTTTACTGCTGAACGACTGCTTTTCTTACTTACTGTATAAAAAATGGATTTAAAAATCATTTGCTGAAATAAAAAAACGTCAAAAAAAGAAAAAGAATTCGGATAATTGATGGCTTTGAATGCCTTCTAGCGTTCATATTAATGTCCGTTCATAATTATGTCCGTTCATTTAATGTCCGTCCAAATAAGGTCCGATAAGGTATACATATACTTCACGACAATCTGTTGTTAAACAGGGGTTCCAGAAAACCCACTTTCCGATACTCCTGAAACACGAAATTTTTTTACAGTCGATTTGGTCAACGTCTAGACGCCCTGCAAAGTTTCAGATCTCGCTAACTCAATTTTAACATGGTTTTTAATGCACCTGAATATGGTGATTTTGGGTTTTTTACCGTTTGGTACCGAATCTCGTATAACATGGTGGCGCGGCGCGTATTTTGCGCAAATTTCTTAAAAACCTCCACATAACTATTTCTTATTCCTGTCATCTTTAACATTGAATTCGAATGTTTTGAACTTAAATATACCTGCTGAACTACTTTCGATGAGTCTTAATGCCTGAAAAACAATAAGGGGTATAATAGTAAAGGGGGTATAAAAGTAAAGGGGGTAAATAGTAAAGGGGGTAAATAATAAAGGGGGTAAATAGTAAAGGGGGGGGGGGGGGTAAATAGTAAAGGGGGTAAATAGTATTGTGAATATAAGAGGCACGGTCATGCTTGCTAGCATTGTGATGTTGTATTTTGTTTTTCGTTTCATTTCGTTTCGTTTCGTTTTGATTTTGATTTTGATTTAATTTAGTTGATTTAACTAAACTAAACTAAATTTTATAAAGGAGCTTGTAAGGAAAATATGGATTTAGTAATAGTAAGTTATTTTAGTTAACACTAGCTAACACTGATGGTTGCGTTCGGTATTAATTGCATGAAACTTAAAGTTTGTTGAATTTCGCCGTTTTATTTGTACAAAGCTCCCCTCCCGGGTGAATACTCTTGAAACTAAATTTCTTCAAATCAACATCATAATTTATTGTTATATGGTTACCAGATTACAGGTCTACGAAACTAATAAATACGAACAACAGATATCGGTAAATAATATAAATTCTAACATTTAAAATTAAAATTGTATCGAAGTGTGAATACACATAGTTCAAAGCAGATAATATTAGTATTATATTGATATCATACCCATAAGATTAATGGGGGTATAACGTAACTCAAAGTTTTTTATTTAACACAGATATCATACTTGGGCCCAGAGTTCGCATTAAAAATTGGAACAAAGAATACATGCAGTCAAAATACGTTCCAGTAAAACGTGCTTGGTTTTTAATTGGATTGATTGTCCATTCTTCTAGGTTTTTGTTTGTCATGAGTGTTTCTTCATTTTTAAATCTGTTTGAAATATGAATTCAAAAATTCTTCGTCTCCTCGTTTTAAATGACCTGAAATCCGCATCAGATAAAACATGGAACAATTTAGAAATTGCTACACGTTGTATACCTCTCGTGCACGCCGGCTTCGCGCGCGATCAAAATGGGTTACAGCGTGTGTCAATTTAGAACCACTCGAATTAAAGAGTCAGAAGTATCTCACGCCTTGTAAGGACGCAGGATTCCGTTGTATACAGCGACCGCGGTAGCCGTCCCCAAAAACGGAAGAAGTCCGAAGGCCTGAGAGGTAGAGTGTTGTTATGTGGTGTCGTAGTAATCAATAGAAGATAAAATATGGTGGATTCCTGAAACATAAAGCATAGATCCAATGAGCAAAGAGCTACACTACCGGGCCCAAAATCTGGAAACGAATTGCGAATGATTTATGGAAGTGTATTTTTACCCATAGATGGTGAGTCCAAGCTCCGCAGACTATATACCAGCAAATCACTATTGGATTAAGACCAGTCACGACATAGGGTCCCTGATGGGAGGTAAAGTTTGATATTGTAAACAGTTAGCAATCAAGGTTCTGCTAAGCTTTATTCAAATCGGTCTGCGGAATTCTTGTTACTGTCTATCATACAGCATGGAAATTTGAAGCCTAGAACCTTAAGTTATGTATTTTTTTAAAGTCCAGCTTATTTTCTATTGTATATACTGAGAGCGAGTTAAGTTTATTAATTACCATGAAGAGAAGAGCAATATGAATACTCATTCCGATAGCGAAGGGTTGCAGGAAACAATCGGCATGACCTCTTCTAGCGTCAATTGCTGCCAGAGTGACCAGTATCATCATCCAGCTTCCAGCCACCATGAACACTATTACCTGCAATGTGGAGTTCCCATGGTAACACTATCACCTGCGCCAGTTAACAAAGATCGTCTGATTTCCATGATCCAGATTTCAGTTAGTCTATTGCACAACAATAATCACGGTGATAAAGAGTACTCACTCTGATAACATTAAAATCTTCGAATGTTGGAGGTGCGAAATCTGGAAGACCCTCAAAATCACCAATTCCCCACAGCAAACCTGAAATCAAGCAGTGGTTGCACATACCATGGCATCTCAAGTCTTCTAATATGATTTAATAATAAAATAAATTGCCTCATTAAAGTATGCCCAAACAGCAGAGTTTCATACCTGCTGCAGTGAAACCACCACAGAACTGCACGAAAATGTAACAAATCATTCTGACGAAGGAGATCTGAGTATCCAGGAAGAACATCAGAGTGATGGAGGGGTTCACATGACCTCCTGACACGTCCTCACATAGGTAGATCATCAAACACACAGCTAGGGGAGGGGGTAACAGTTATTATCATAGTATCATCATAATCCTTAATATTGACGAAAATAAGTAGTCTGTAGCAATGGAAGAAAGATTTTTAAACATGACCATTTTGACACAATTAGAACTACCAATTATAACCGAGCGTCTGTCCTGTTACATTTACTCACTCATCCCAACTCCGAAGGATGTGGAAAAGTTGAAAAGATCCGTGGTTCCGCTGTCATCTAATCTCGCTATGATCCTGGGGTTTATTCCACCTGAAGGGTGATACCGTAAGTTAATTATAAAATAGTTATTATAATTTGGAAGTATTTATAAACTCTAGCTATATCACGGTCCAAGGCTTCATTTGAAACATGAAGTCTAGAAGTAGATATAGAATTAGAACAACAGTGGTTCATGGTTGCACTGAATGTGTCAATGATGCTATGGTTACGATTTATAAATATAATTCAGCAGTAACATAGCACCTGTATAACACCTGTATAACACCTATATAACATAGCACCTGTAGCGAAAAGTACGAGCATGAAGATTCCAAGAAATTCAGCAAACAGCGCTCTCAGTCCCGCCTGATTTGTGAACTCCTTAAAACTACCAAGTTTCCATTCTCTTTTAGGGAGCTCCTGAAAGAGAAGAAAAATTCAACAAGTGCAAGTTGCGGTTTCTTATGTGCGCCACCACCAAATTTCCTTACCCATAATGATTAATGGTATTTACTGGAACACGGTTAACCTGTCATTCCGCCATATCTTCATCCTGAACACTAAGCCCCAGTCTCCAGGTTAAATAGGTCACGAGTTAGGAGTGAAATCTGGTTAAAGTGGTTGATATTGTTATATCTAAAAAATTAAAAAGGAAGTGGTTCAGATGGACACCACGTGACAATGAAACACAAATCTCTCCGGGATTATTATTAAAAAACATAAAGTATGCGTCTATAATAGTTGACTAATTATTTGAATCTGCAGTATATATCAGTAGTCAGTACTGATCAAGCTGCGGATCAGTTTTAATGATAAAAAAGAAGACGCGAACCTCATTATTCGGGAGAGCACCATTACAAATGGTCTGACCAACATTTTCTTGAACTGACATAGTTAGTGGATTCTCTACGATCATTACAATTACAAAGTTATCACAGAAGCTGTTAAAGTTAATTCTGAACGACACTCAAATGTACTGCAATGCTAGTGTACTTACTATTGGTGCTGTTAAAGAGACTGGTCATTAGGGGGCGATTTACTTTTATTACATTATTTTTGTTAGATTATCGACAAGTCACGAGTTTTAACTGCTCAGATATCTGGCTGACTGGCTGAAACATTAGGCTAAGTCTTGACTTTGCGGATCTAAGTATTGACGACACTGGATTACAGCGGCTCATGATCAAATCATACGTATTCAATTTCATAAAGAGAGTACTTAGTACCGCTACCGGACAACTGAACCCAATTAAGACATTTAGATTCTGATTAACCCTAACTCTAACCCTAACCCTGACCCTGACCCTGACCCTAACCCTAACCCTAACTCTAACCCTAACCAATTAAGCTGATTGGTAAGTGGGGATTATGTTCAATTGGGTTCAGTTGTCAGCCATCCCTCAGGGTTATATACTCAGATTTAGTCTGCGGTGTTTCCACTCTTTCGGTGGATTACTTGCTGTATAACATGCCCTGAACCAAAACTTTCGGTCTATTTTGACACAAAGTAATTCGTTATTAACTTTAAGCGCCTGGAGAAAATATGCTCTTGCTGGTTGTGCCCATCAATCTAGAAGTAACTCTTTCATGCAGAGTGGTTCATGAGACTATTGAACACATATTCCTGCACAGAAATGCTTTTGACAAATTAATTCCCAGAAAATATTCGTAATGGTAAAGCCCTAAGAGTAAGACGTAGAACCATGATTTGACATTTCTGTTTTTTCGGATTATGCAAGAAATTTGTTTTAAATTGATCAGTTATCAATCTTAAAGTTATCAATCTTAAAGTTGTTAAATTGGATAAGCAATGAAACGGCATCAAGTAGGTAATATCTTCGTAAATAAAAGCCATCTCTAGCCTACAAAAAAAGAAAAATGGTTAGAAACAACAGTAATTCTTACAAATGATAGAAAATTTAACATTATTATAAATATCACAAGCAGAGCAACCTAAGAGAAAAGGTCGAAGGCGGAAGACAAACAAAAGAGGGCAGTGTAAGAGCTGCAGACGTAGTATCTAGACCTACCCGGGTCGACTAGGAAGAAAAATAATATTAATAAAAGCAAATTATTTAGTAACTACAATTTTATTTAAAAATTTTGGTACGGAATGTAAATATGAACTTTTCATCTTCTCTATCTAAATCTAAGAGGGCCATTTTCCTCACAATCCATAATTTAAAAATCTTAATGTTAAAGTCATTTTTTTGTTTTAAAAAACAGTGCATAGAAACAAGAAAGGGCCGATTGCTCAAATTTAAGTCTCTCATTAATGATAAATTTGTCCCTATGGCCATTCATACGTATGTGCATGGGTGTATCTGTCTGGCCAAAGTATGAGTCCTCTTTAACTTTAAGGATACTGTTCCCCGTTACACAAATCTGCAAAGTTATCAATTTTTGCATTTTAACCAAATATTGATGTGCTGGCATGTGCTGGGATGTGCTGTGATCGCAAAGAATTAAAATTCACTTTGATATAGGCATGCTCGAGGGCCTGGGGACTCACTACAGGAATTGGAACAAGAAATTGGGTTAACTGTAACATACCGGCCAAATCGAGATATTTCTTGTAGGTTTATAACCAACCAAGACGCGCGCCGAGTTGGATTCGTCGACGGTCTAATATTTGAAACAAATATTTTACGAGCATTACTCTAGTAGCAGTGTGTAGTTGAGTGTGCACTTCGATGTCCACGATTTCTGACAACATAGGGTTGTTTGTTAGGTCATCCTAAACCAAAATCGTTTAGGTGCGCAATTTGTATCGCTAGAGACAACCCTACAGGGCAAATTTTCTAAATTACCCTCAGTCGCATATACGGGATTTTCGTATTTCGGCTCCTGAAGGTCATAGAAACTTCAATTTTAGCTTAAAATTACCGCATAGGCCACATTTATATACAACTTATTAATCAATGTATGATCTAAAATTGTTTGTTTCCGAGATATCTGCAAAAAACTAATTTTAAGCTCAGGCGTACGCACAAATTTCATCAAATTTGTATCTCAGCTTCTGAAAGTCTTAGAGACTCAAACTTTGGCTTAAAATGACCGCAATGCACATGTTTACATTGACACTATAAAGGTCATAAAGGCCCAAGATGCTTACTTTTGGAAAAAAATCCAGAAAAACTGATTTTCACTGGGGCGAGTGAAAAAAATCTACTCTAGAAGCTAATTGAAATCGAGTATGCAGTTTGGTGTCTACAACTTATCTAGAAACTAGGTCCTTTGTAAGGTCATTCTGGATCAGAATTGATAAGGTACGCAATTTGTATCAGTAGTTCCAACCCTAGGGGGGAAATTTCTAAATTACCCTCAGGCGCAAATATATAACTTCTGTATCTCGGCTTCTGAACGTTTTAGGGGCCTCTCTTTTAGCTCAAACTAACTGCAAAGGCCACCTATAAAGCAACATAGGGTTTATTATAGTGCTTAGTTTTGGAGATATTCATTAAAAACTGTTTTAACTTTCGTGCATCCTAAAATAGTAACATCAAACATGTACTTAATTTTGGTATCGGGGCGAAAAAAGTCTTACAAACACTTTACTTGCAGCACAGCAAACTGTTCAGCATGAACACATTCACTCATTCAGATAATATTTATGAAGCAACACAATTCAGTTTCAGAAGCTCCTTCCAGATATCTTATCTTATCCCCAAATTTATACATCTGACGATTTCTTTTGTTGCTTACATCTCGTTAAAGCCAAGGCTCGACCGGGACCACTTTTTTGGCCGGGACTGGGACTGGGAATAAGTGCCGGGACCGGTATTAAGACCGGGACCGGGATTAGGGATCGGGATTAAGCCCGGATCCCGGTCTTAAAGTTAAGGGGGCCGGGTCTTCATCAAAATTCTCTCGAAATCAACTTTATAGTTGTTTCTGATAGAGGGGAGTGATATCTATCAGCTGCTTTTGGTCCCATGGAATAAAATTGTTCCTAGCCGAAATTATCGCTGGTCAAAGGTCAAAATTAAGGTCCAAGAATTTCAAAATCGATTTAAAAATCTTTAAATGCCTATCTCAAAATTCTGGCTCTAGAGTTCTCTTCTTACTGATCCTAAGAACATATCCTGAAAGTTTGAGGGTGATTGCTCAAAAAATGTAGGAGAAGATAGATTTTTAGACTCGATTTTCAGAACGCGCAATTGAAAATCGCTCACGCAATACAATTACACATAAGCGCTGACCTTTGACCAGCGATAATTTCGGCTAGGAACAATTTTTTTCCATGGGACCAAAAGCAGCTGAAAGATATCACTCCCCTCTATCAGAAACAACTATAAAGTCGATTTCGAGAGAATTTTGATGAAGACCCCCCCCGGCCCCCTTAACATAAGTTGGGCTCTCTCCAGTACTGTTTGGCTATTATAGCTAATCAACTCCAATCCAACCTCATGTAGTAGAATCTACTTCTAGTTTCCTTCAATTCTGCTATCTCCACTCTAGCTCTTTGTAGCAATCTCTGAATGCTACTTCCTGCTCTATCTAGCTTCCACCAATATCCAATAATTGTTGCTATGCTACTGTTAGCACCTGCAAATTCTAGCCCTATCCAGCAACCTCAGACTTACTCCTACTCTGTTCAGCTATCACCAGAACCTGCAAATTCTAGCACTAATTCCAGCAACCTGAGACTGCTTTCTGCTCTATCCAGGTAACACTAGCAAACGGTACCCACAAATTTTAGCTTCTTCTAGCTACTTCGGGCTACATCCATCCTTATTCAGTTGGTTGAGCACTCTCAAATTCTATCTGTTTTTATCTAATTTAGGCTACCTCCAGGCTCCAGCTAGAATTTGAGGGTGCTTGTGCTATCTGGATATATCATAAGGTAGTCTAATTGTGCTGGATAGGGCTAGAAATTAGAATTTGCTGGTGCTAGTGGTAGCTCAACAACAATTAGTGGGTGTTGGTGGAAGCTAGATAGAGCAGAAAGTAGCATTCAGAATTTGCTAGAAATAGCAGGTTTCCTCTTCTGAAACTGAATTGTGTTGCATAAATATTATCTGAATGTGTTCATGCTGAACTTTTGCTGTGCTGCAAGTAAAGTGTCTGTAAGACTTTTTTAGCCCGGGATACCAAAATTAAGTACATGTTTGATGTTACTATTTTAGGATGCACAAAAGTTAAAACAGTTTTTAATGAATATCTCCAAAACTAAGCACTATAAACCCTATGTTGCTTTATAGCTTGTATGTAAATGTGGCCTTTGCAGTTAGTTTGAGCTAAAAGAGAGGCCCCTACAACGTTCAGAAGCCGAGATACAAAAGTTATATATTTGCGCCTGAGGGTAATTTAGAAATTTCCCCCCCTAGGGTTGGAACTACTGATAGAAATTGCGTACCTTATCAATTCTGATCCAGATTGACCTTACAAAGGACATGGTTTCTAGAAAAGTTGTAGACACCAAACTGCATACTCGATTTCAATTAGCTTCTAGAGTAGATTTTTTTCACTCGCCCCAGTGAAGATAAGTTTTTCTGGATTTTTTCCAAAAGTAAGCATCTTGGGCCTTTATGACCTTTATAGTGTCAATATAAACATGTGCATTGCGGTCATTTTAAGCCAAAGTTTGAGTCTCTAAGACTTTCAAAAGCTGAGATACAAATTTGATGAAATTTGTGCGTACGCCTGAGCTTAAAATTAGTTTTTTGCAGATATATCGGAAACAAACAATTTTAGACCATACATTGATTAATAAGTTGTATATAAATGTGGCCTTTGCGGTAATTTTAAGCTAAAAATGAAGTTTCTATGACCTTCAGGAGCCGAAATACGAAAATCCCGTATATGCGACTGAGGGTAATTTAGAAAATTTGCCCTGTAGGGTTGTCTCTAGCGATACAAATTGCGCACCTAAACGATTTTGGTTTAGGATGACCTAACAAACAACCCTGTGTTGTCAGAAATCGTGGACATCGAAGTGCACACTCAACT